AAATAAACCACAAGAAATAATAGACAAGAAAAAAACCATAAAAAAACCAGAAAATAATGGAGAGAACTCGCATAAAGCAAGATTAATTTAAAACCCAAATCCATAAACTATGGCTTATTGCATACACTCAAACGTTAACTTCTACATAAGTATGTACAGCTAAGATAGACATGCTCTTAATCTTCTTGTGCTAGCATTAATGACTTAAATAATTTAATTGTATGACATATGCAGATAAGATGAGATAAAAGATGAAAGATAATTATTTTTTTATTATGTAATTAATATAAAAAAAAAAAAATCTTCCTGCGCAAGTTGTATTTTGCAAAACCGATTTTTAGTTACAAAGATGCAGATAGTATGGGCGGTGCAATAAATGAAGAAGAGATGATTTGGAGACAATTAATATGCATGACATCTTGCATTAAATTAATTCCTTGTTTTACAATTTCATTTGCTCCAAAAATTATGATCTGATTGTAATAAATAAAAGGTTTTCTCTATTGAATGATTTAAGATGTTGGAAATTAGAGTAAGCATAAAGGTAACACCTGCAACAATGTAAATAAAGTCAAAATTTTGGTTTTGTTTCCTAAACATTTATAAGTCTGGATGATCCGCGTCTAATTTTGCAATTGTTAGAGTCCAAGATATGGTAGTGACTAAACACAAAATGACAAATTAATATACATCTTCTGAGTAGAAGAGTACAAAATAACATTTATTAACATGATTTTTTATTGTAGCAGATGTATATGTTGAAAAAAAGAATAATTTTCTTAATTGATTATTGATAGATTAAATTAATGAATATGTATAATATTATAAATATTACCAATGATATGTAGATTTGAGTGAAAGGAATTCGGTTCACTTTAAACAAACTCTTGAATTCGAGTATTATGAATGGAAAAATAAATATTGAGAGAGTTTCTTCAAATGGAATCCGACGCGACTCGATCCCAGATTAATTTAGACTCAATGTGGTTATTGGATACAAAAAGATTAGCAAAAATAAAAAAAAATAAAAACAATATTACAAATATCAATATATTAATTTTCTAAATTATAAATCACAAAATAAAAAAACGAAAGCTTTTATTTTTATTCAAAATGAAGAAATGCTTGGAATGATATTACAAATACTTTAATTACAACAACATTGTGTTATGATGCAAAGTATGTAACCAAGTCATAGACTTTTATTCACATAATAATATTATTATAATGCGATAATGTGTAACCAAATCATAGAGCTATATACTCTTGTAGGAATTGTTGAAATAACTTGGAACACCAAAAGTTGTGTTGACAGACACAACCAGTGGACTCCTAACGTTGTGAAGGCCATCTGACCAAACAATTTCTCCAAAATCATATCTCCCTTGAGACTTTTTCACCGGATTCAGAGTAACGTAGTAAGATATTTCGTCTTTAAAACTTGAAAAGATCAAGATGCTTGGGCATATTAGTACCTCTACTCCATTAGGTTCCACCACCGTGGCAAAATAAACTGCATTCTTCTTGCACCCTACGTTGCGAACAGTCCTCTTAATGGTCGTACTAGATTGCAAATTCGAGACTGTGATAGATGGATAATTTATGTTTGCATTAGATCGGTGGCCATGAGGGCAGCTTACATTGGTCCCTGTTATCCTTTTGATTTGTTGTTGGGTGTAGCCTATGTTACATAAGAAGAGGATGTAATCAGAGGGTTTGGTGTCATAGACTAGGCCAGGGTCCAATGCTTTCAAAGGGTTAATGTGGCCAGCACCAATGTCAAAAGGGTCTGAACCCTTGGTGGATCCGCCAGAGAGGATGGTATCGAGGGTGGTATCTTTTGTGTAGGATGTGGTCATGAGAGCAGATCTAATGGTTGCTGGTGACCAATTTGGGTGCACGGATTTGATGAGTGCCACTACTCCTGAAACGTGAGGGCAAGACATTGATGTTCCAGATTGGAAATTCCAACTCACAGAACGGTTGTCCTTGGGTAACAGGGTTGGAGGAGTAGCAGGAGGCCATGCTGCTAAGATACTGATTCCTGGTGCAGTAACATCAGGCTGTCACAGGAGAGAGAAAACAACGGAGGATATAAGATCTATATATAGTTTTCTCTAGCACGAATGGTTTTTTTATTGAGAAACATTGAAAAGTAGGTCACCAAAAACCTTTTTAGTTTTTAAATAAAGAAAATGATTTGCGCATCTTTTGTTCAACACATTTTTTGACACATTTTTTGTTTAATCATTAAAAATATAATATAAATACAGTCAATTCAATTGGTTCTTGTATTTTGTATGTATGATTATATCATTAAATTTGTTTATCTTTAATTTTAAATTAAAAAATAATAAATTTTTAATAAATGTGTCATGTAATGTATTCAACCAGAGCATATATCAATCATTGTCTTTTAAATAATTACTTTTGCAATAAGAAATTGTTCTAGAAGTTAGGTTAAGTAAACAATTTTACCTTAAGGAAATCAGGTGATGTTGTACTTGGTCCTCGAGATGAAAAGTATGCAACTGCTGGAGCCGGTGACCTTCTGATTATTGTTTTACTCGGTGCTATCTGAACTATAGGGAACCTGTATCATGGCCATAACAGTAAAAAGTCCTGCTTTAGCTACACATCACAGTGAAATTTAAGCTTGAATTCCGAATTGCATACTTGGGAGATTCAGTAATATAGTTCCAAATTCGGGTGCCTTGCGCAATGTCCACATAAACTGTGGGGATTATTGCAATATCAACATCTGCAGTCTGCTTAGTCAAGGGTTCTGCAAAGATCAAACCTAATCCCTTTGCAGTTTTCACTGCAGCCTGCGCAATTTCAACTGGTAGTTGGCCTGAGGTAGAGAAGCAAAGGATTACTCTCCCTACGGCAGGCTTTTGGTTCCAGTATTCTGATTCGCATATCCTGAACATGAAATGCAGAATGTACGTTACCAACATCAAAAAGAAAAAAAAAAAAAGAAGATAGATTATACCAAAGTTACATATATGAACCTAGGCAACTACAAAAGAAAGAAAGAAAGATCACCCATTAGCAAAGTAAATGTTTGCCTTCACCACCCTTCCCTTAATCTCTTCAGTAATTATGCCTTCTCCCTGTCAAGATTAATATCATCAAACACATTAATGTTAAGCAACTAATTCTCATTCTAATTGAAATTATTTTTTTAGAAAAAGGTGTACTGATTTTTTGAGTTTGAAATAAATTCTAATTACTTTTTTTTTTTTTTTTAAACGATGAGTGAGAAGATTCGAATCTCAATCCAAAAAATACATCTTACAATCGAGTATAAAATCAACGCGTGACACGAGTCACGTGCGAATTCAAGTCATTTATTTTGTAACTCGGTGGAGTATATAATAAAACAATTTTTCGTAAATAAAAGAATAGTGAATGAAAAAACAATGCATTACCGTTATGGAGACGTTGCCATCGAGGACAATCTCGGCGGGAAAAGTCCGATCAATAGAGGAAGCAGCGACGCAGAGCGACCATGGTGCAACATTGCTGACGAGAGACGGGTCCGGACCGTCGTTTCCGGCTGCAAACACAACACTAACACCGTTTTGTGCCGCGTGAAACGAACCAATGTCGGCGCTCGACGCGAAGAACGGAGCCAACGGCGGTGTTGAGCCGAAAGAGGCTGATATTACATTCACTCCGTCGCTCAGAGCATCGTCAAAAGCCGCGAGAATATCCTCTTCCGTGCAAATTCCGTCCAGATTCTTTCCCCAGCATATCTTGTACACCGCCAATCGAGCTCTAGGCGTGCCTCCTCTGGCGGTGCCTTGCCCAATGCCGAAAAAGCTAGCGTTTTTTACTATGGAGCCGACTGCTGTTGAAGCTGTGTGAGTTCCGTGGCCGAGGAAGTCCCGGGCCGACCTGTATTCCGGGTTGCCGCTGGTGTTCAACGGCCCGTATGTTTGTTCGAAACCCTTGATGTAGTATCGGGCGCCGATTAGCTTGCGATTACAAGCCTTTGCTGGATCGAATTTTTCTCCGGCAATGCAAGCCCCTTTCCAGCGTGATGGAATCGGCCCCATCTCTGGTTCTTCCCGGAAACTCTTCGATTCCGGCCATACGCCTTATCATGATCACCACCACCAAATTAAAGAATCAGGAAAAACACAATTTGTACAGAGATGAAGAAAAGATTGGAAATTCCCTCAGACCTGTGTCAAAGAGTCCGACAACAACATCGTCGCCATAAGCAAGCTGCACGGGGGACACTACATTTTCGGCATTGTACAAGGTAAGACCTAAGAAATCCCAGCTTCTTGTTGTGTGTAACTTCAATGTCCTGCTCTGGAACACTGATACCACTTCTTCCATGTCTGCAATGCATGCAATTTTTCTTGTTATTTTGAAAATTAAGCATTTTGGGGGCAATTATTAATTTGAGATTATTATGTTTATAAAATGGGATTAGGGCATTATTACTTGCTAAGGTAGCTGCCTGGCTCGAATTTAGCTTTGCTGAAAAGCCTGAGAAACTATGTTTGTAGCTGTAGAGCAAGGAGTGCTTAGCTTCTTCTTTACTGAGAGAAAAAAAAAAAAAATTAAAATGGTAACAAAGAGTTGTAAGTTACAGTTTTTTATGTATTAACTATTAAGTTAGTTCTGCAAAAGATAAAATAAATGAAAACAACATAGGTGAAGAACCTTGAGAACACATTAGTAAGGAGTTGAAGATGAGACTTGGAAGTGAAGATAGGATCTTGAGATTGGCTGAGCCCTAAATAAACTATGTAAACCTGCACCATATCGATAAACAATATTAAGATCATGATTAAGGAGGGTGGCAAACTGGCAATAAAGGATGATGTACTTTGGGGAAAATAAAGTTTACATGGGATGTTGTGGATGTTGAGTGTAAAAAACAAAGTGAGAGTGCAAGAAATATGCCCAAAAGGCATTGAACATGATAAGTAGGCAATGCCATTGTCTCCTATGGGAAGAACTGCAGTGTGGATGGCTGGGGTTAAATAGTGAAGTAGAGGCTGCAGAAGAATATATTTGATAGTGCGTGTGCTCGAAGGTTTTCAAGACTTCAACAAATATTAGTGATGTTCCTTCTTGGATACATCATTGTATTTTCCCTTCTAAGCTAGTTGATGGCAAAGATAATGTGCCATACCTATGGATACTGACCTTAGGTAGAATTACAAGAGAAGACTACTTTTCATTTTTGTGGTATAACATCTAATGATAGGTTAGGATAATTTTCTCATTTCCCACATCCCTCGCTACCCATCTCAAGAGCCAAACATGAGACCTATGACTTAGAGTCTCAAGCTCTTACCCTTGAGACACCCTCCTTAGGGGTGAAGACTACCTTTCATAAAGTTTCATTGTTATTATATACCATGAATACTATAAAGAGAGAGAAATTCCATGTGACTTTCATCATAATTCTTTAGAATTTAATTGATCTCACCATAGCTTCCTGCAATATACCTCATTAGCTTTTAAAAGCTTGTCTTTGCTAGCCTTTTCTTGGAGTTTTTAATAGAAAGTAAGAAATGCAATCACACATGTCCTACATTGAGGGATAAATGCGAGATATAAATAACATCAACAAAGCTCAAGCCTCAAGATAACATCTATCCTGCACATTAAGCTTTGTACCCTCTTCATTTTCTTAATTTCATATCTAGAAACATAATCCTAGTTTTAGATCAGCATGATTATATTCAATTAAGCTTAACCTTAAATTAACTAGAAATCATTGTGTTAATCCTCTGTGATGCTTGATGAGTGTTTTCTTAAGGTATAGACTGCTAGTACAAAAAAATTCTTTGAGAAAAAGCATAGATGTTCTAGCTATAAGCAAGGGGTGTGCTCGCATGCCCCAAGCTATGTATGCTTCTCTTTGTATAGAGTAATTAAGGTTATACTATAATTTTAACCTTTATTTTCCTTTTAGTTTAAAATCAAGTACATTATTTATCATGTGTATAAATTGTATGCCCTATATAACTACAAGTTAAAGAGTGCAAAGCTTGAAAAGTGAGAATCAACCTAGTTGGAACATATATATCAATTTGCTTTTGAAAAGAAAAATTATACGCACTCGGTTCAATCATTGCTTAGCTAAATTTTTTATTATACATTGCGTGAATTGTGTTCAATTGTGTTGCGTAATCACAAGTTTATATGATCAAAAAGCCTAAACTTTTGAGGCACGTCTAGCCTTTCGGTATATATTCACATCATTTAACCTCTTCAATATGAATAACAAAAAGTTTCTTTACTTCTAAACATCTTATTTTTGTCATAGCTAGCAATCCATAATTGCATCTTAATATAACATCATAATTTGATTGAGGTAAAACATCTAGCTTGCTTTGATAAGCAGGAATTTATTTGCTGCATTTTAAGATTTATCTTCCTTGTGGGTATTCCAATAGTAACATAGGTTTATCTTGGTTAAATTTAATTTCATTTTAGTTTCTAGACTTATATAATTTAGCCACACTGATATGTGTAAAAGTATGTCTAATTGAATTGTATTGAATTATATATTTGTATGCATGTTAGGCTTACTTTAAGTGTTATAAATATGGAATAATGTTAGCTTTATCTGGAATGGCAGCCTGCCTAATTTCTAGACTTTTGCTAATATTGGATATTTATATGAGGAAATATTTCAAATGGCATGTATATACAGAATGACTGATATATAACCTAGTTATCCTGCTCACGAATCCACCAAGGAAAGGAAGAAAAGAAGTAGAAGAATTATTATCCCAACAGTATGTCTCCCCTATCATGGATTACTGCTGAAGTGATTCTACAGGAAAAGAAGCATCATTTGCTGTTAAAAAAGGGTAAGAGATAGATAAATATGAAGATACTCAAGCAATGTCCTATATTGAGGTGCGGTTCTACTTTTTTCCTTTTTATTGTGCATGTATAATTTGTTTACTGAAGTTAAGTTAATCCTCCGAAGTTTTTTATTTCAGCAGAGAAGAGTCTTGTTTCCACTCGTATTTTGCATGGCTTTTGGTTACAGGTCCTATTATCCTCGTAAAGCTTTAAGAAAAATGCATAAGAAAGCCTGACTTGGCCCCCCAGTTTCTATATTGTTGGTTAATCATATATCCTTGGTAAATTGGTCTTCTGATTTTTTGGTCCTTTGATTTTTTATGAGGTGAAATCATGTTGAAAGTTTTCATTAAGCATTTGATTAGGCAAGCATGGTCATTTGATTCTACTAATGAGAACTTAATGATGATACCATTGATTCCAAAGATGCATTATATTAACCCTCTGTAATGGTAAAAGTGTAAAACAGTACTTATGATTTTAATTATTTTATTTTAATGGTTAAGAATGTATTATGAACATGTTGATAAGCATCTGCGGAGAAGATTTGCATATTTATTCAGAATACATTAGATTATGATTAGAATTTTAATCCTTTGTGTTAGTTAGAGTGGGTTATATTTATACTTGTAGGTTTTCTCTAACCTTGCCCTAAGAGCACAGGTTATGAGCACAATTATTGCACTTTTTTATATTAATTAGTACCCAAAAAAATAAAGATTGACCTTTGTTTGAGCAACTGCTCAATTAAAATGATCCACGTACCATTGGTGGTAAAATTAATGACAACTTTTGTATTTTTAAAAACTAATTAACCTTAAAAAGGTGCAATAATTACACCCTTAAGGGCATAGGTTAGAAAAACCCATATTTGTAATCAAAACATGTTTCCTGGTTTTTATTATCACTGCCAGTGTTAAGAATCATACCATGGAATGACAAACTTTAATTAATTAAGATATTATACCGTGGTTAGGATTAATTAATTAAACTTCTACATTACTCTTCAAGTATCTACAGCAATTATCATTACATGTAAGACATTATTATTTACAGAAAAATAACATTGACTTCCTATTTATGGATGCAAGCGCAATTGGGTGGAGGATATACGCCTGGAATATTGAACAAGTGGCAATCAGCTATCTATCTTCCCCACCCTTGACAACTCTGAAGTCTTTCTCCAGGATTTTCTAGTCTAGAAGCAAAGTAAGAATATCAGGAACTCAGAAATCACAAATGATATATCTTGGACCCACTATTCACTAGCATGTTTTTCCTTTAGGTTAGGACTTTGTCAAGCTCAAGTCATGAAGTGGGACATTGTGATCAACTTTCCACTCCACTTCCAGGTTTGTGGTGATCTATATTCAAGAAACAACCCATCACTCTAATCTTGTCAATGTAGAAAATGTTTAAAAATTTTCACCCGAAGCGCTAATTAGCTAACCTGCCGACCATCTTGAAATATCATGAAAGATTTATTTACTTAACCTTGTTTGCTGACGTGGTAGCGAGTAAGGTCTTATTTGTTACATTTTTTGCTTAATTAAAAAGATTAGAAACTGATTTTTAATTTCTTAGGGGGGATGAAGAAACTGAATAGCATTAGCTCCTGCCTGTTGCAAACTGTTCTAGAGGTCATTTATCGCTTTCGCTACATGCTCTGGCATGTGATTGTATACATTTTCTTCTGCTACACATGCTTCAAAGATTGAAAAGCTAATTCTCATCTCCATCCCACAACCGGAATTTGAGTTGCTAGATTCCAGAAAGGATAAACGAAGATGAACCTGCATGCTTAGAACACTTAAAAATAAAGTTTATAAAAAATTTTTTAAAAAAAATCTAGATAGTTTTGACAGTATCATGATTATGTTTCTATTTCCAGTCTGCTAAGTATGCTCATGTCTAAGTTTGCCACTTGAACCAACAACATTCAAGAAGAAGCTACCTTCAATTACTTCTTTCCAACTGATGTACAGACGGGCGGCGTGTGCTTTTTTCCCCTTCCTTTCTTTTCCCTCGTTTTCTGTAATCTTTCTTAAGATCCAAACACTTATTATCAGAAACAGAGAACACAGATATATTTGCTCTTCAAACATTATCATTGAATTATATAATGCCTTAAAACATCATTATCGTACCTGCAAGACTAGCTGTACTGCACTGACATTTATCAAGCATTTCTTTCTCTAAATGATTCAATCTCACTCTTTATCAATTTGAAAATCATCAACATTGTCAACAAAACCAAACTCAATGTGAAAAGAAGGGAGCAATCTTAGCTAAAGCTTTATTAAGGGCTGAGATTGATTTGGAGATCATAAATCAAACTGAACTCCTTCAAAGTTGGTGGGACAGATATATTCCTCTACCCCTTTGGGCCAAACGTGGGCGTCTGCCATGTCATATTAGCTATCAAAACGTAAATTGTCCACTGAAGTGCTAATTATGTCACTATTAATAAACCGGAAAAATGAAGGGAGTAATTGAGAAATAATGGTAGGTAAGGTGGTTGAAAGGTTTCAACTTTCATGCAATTGGGTGAGGAGATAGTGTAGCCTAAGAAAGGGGGGAGGAAAACTTGAGCCTTTGAGTGACAGACTAAGATTGGTGGAGGATACAAATGCGCACTAGAAGAAAAAAAAGGCAGAGAAGCAACAATTTTTATTCTCCTTTTTTTCCTCTTTTTGAATTGGTACATAACAAACAAGACCCTCTTATTCTCTCTCTATCTGTGCTCCTTGTGGGACCGTTTCCGCCATTGCCAAGAATTAGCCCCCACATCAACACTCTCCCCATCATTGCCATTGAGAATTTCTTTGTTCTCTCTGATCAACATTTTGTCATTCACATCCATCGCCACACAATTTGCTCTCAACAAAACATTCCTCTGGTTTTGATGATAACAGTTTTCTCTTTCTTTCTCTTTTTGTTGTTGATTTTGGGGTCCAAATTGTTGGTTTTACTAAAAATAAAAGAGAGGGAAATAACTATGTTTTTGCTGATGGGCTGTTGTTGAGGGAAGTAGGTATTGTTGGGTTCCTTTCTGGGTTTTAGCATAATGGGAAATTGCTTCTGTAGGTGGGGGCCTTCAATTTACAGAGTTTCCTCTAATACTAAGTCAGGTTGGTTTCAATTCTTTTGCTTGATGCCATTATGCTTGTTCCTTGTTAAGTTCATGCAATTTGGGTTTGATTATTATGTGATTTTAAGCAATGATTTTGATTTCTTGTGCTTTTTTCCCTGATTGAAGTATGGTTTACTATACATATGAATTCCCAATACTCTGTTTTTATCCCTTTTTAACCTCTCCTTCCTAATATTTTTCTTCCCTGCTTGATTTCTCTTATTCTTTTTCTTTTTGGATTTGGAGTTAATATCAAACACTGAATCTTCTTTTTCATGTTGTGTTTTCCTTCTCCTTTCCCCTGTTTCTTCATTTTCCATCCTCTGTTTCTTCATTTAACTTGGTTTGTTCTTTGAATTTGGTGGATTTCTTTATTTTTCTAATTTTTGTTCGTGGATCTAATGTTCTAGATATTCCCAATATCCGGCAATTAGAATTAGAATAAAAGAATAGAAAGTGTGCCTTTTTAACTTTTTCCTTTTCCCACTTAGAAAGATAGTGCCTTTCCCCCTCCATCCTTAGGTTGGCAATCGGATACCTATCACTGTAGTGCGTCCATTCTTATCTGAACGGTACTGTGCTATTTTTAATAATATGTGTTTAGTTTTGGAGAGAGAAAAAAGAAGAATTGCTTGCCTTTCTCTTTTATTTTCATTTTGTGATTTGATATTTCTGATCTCACATGCTGATAAAGTTCCTTAGTTGTGTTTTGTGTTGCATGAATCTTCTTTTATCTTGATCATATACCCTGATACACTTTTTTAAGATTCACTAATTAACATATGAAAGGAAAAGAGAAAAAAGGAAAAAGGAACTTGTTTTCTTCAATTCTTGTTCCTTGAACAACATCATCAGTTTTGATCTTATTTATCAACTTGGAATAGAAATTTCTATCTATATTTATAACTGCACTTCAACGGTAAGAATGAAGTTGGTGTTTATGGTAGTCAGGAATTAAATATGTTATGCTGCATATTCTGTTTGTTTTCAGAGTCTCCAAAAGACCAGAGTCCTTCAGAGAAACAGAGGGAAGTTTCTAAGTTACCATCAAATCCCGAAGAAGTAGAAGATCTACGTCGTGATTCTGCCACAAATCCACTGATAGCATTCACATTTGAAGAATTGAAGACAATCACCGGAAATTTTAGGCAAGATCGTGTGTTGGGTGGAGGAGGTTTTGGAAGTGTTTATAAAGGATTTATAACTGAAGATCTGAGGGAGGGGCTTCAGCCTATTCAGGTTGCTGTAAAGGTTCATGATGGTGATAACAGTTATCAAGGGCACAGAGAATGGCTGGTAATTTATATTTCTTTCAGTTTTCATCTACCATTTAAAACTTTGCATTTCCTATGGATTTGATGAAGAGCTTTCTGGACTTTTTAGGCAGAGGTGATATTTTTGGGGCAACTTTCTCATCCAAATTTGGTGAAACTGATTGGTTATTGCTGTGAAGATGACCATCGGGTACTGATATATGAGTATATGGCACGGGGAAGTGTTGAAAACAATCTGTTTTCAAGTAAGTATATGTACCACTTCTCCTTTAGATGTTGCCTTTTGTGGAACCTTGTTTTTGTTTATCATTGACCCGTAAACGGCTTGATGGATTAGAGTGAACTGCTCATAGCAGTCAACAAGGCACATTTAATATAATAAGGACATGGTTAACATTTCAAAACAGCTGTAAGCCTGTGCTGTCATTTGATCCTCCAATAAAAGTCCATCTCGGATTCCTCTCCTTATCATCATAGATCTCAGATCCTAATAACAAAGACGTAGATTCATCATTGTTGGGCAAATTGCATAGACTGCAGAAATCAGGCATTAGTTCTTTGTGTCATTTTCAAGGAACAGGAGGTTAAGTTAAAAGGCAGGGTAGCAGGTAAAGGTGCTAAGGGTAGCAGGCAAAGGTGCTAAAATCTAATTACTGTTGTACCTTTAAGCTAAAGATGATAAGGGTGGTAGGTGGTAGGAATAATTATGTTGAGTTTCTGCATATTGCCATACGTGGAAAACTAGCAGTGTTTAGATATTTTCTGGGCATTTCATTAATTCATTAGCTTCACATTGCTGATGAACTAGCTTAATGAAAGCTACACTGTGGGTATTGCAGATTTGCAGCTGTAGGCCTGTGGATTTGTGTTATTTGATAGCTAACTTACGTAATATCTCATTGTTACAGAAGTGCTGCTTCCCCTACCCTGGTCTATCAGAATGAAGATTGCGTTTGGTGCTGCAAAAGGACTTGCATTTCTCCATGAAGCCAAGAAGCCTGTCATCTACCGTGACTTTAAGACATCTAATATTTTGTTGGACTTGGTTAGTACACTAAAAGCCCATGCTCATTTCTGCTTAAGAAAAAAATAAAAGGAAAAAGGAGATACTCTTCTTCTTCTTTTTTGGACAGAGTGAGGATCTCTCACTGACATACTCATCTAGTTATATAGTTTCCCATTTGATAGCAGCCTTAACTTACAAGCCTAATACCTCTTACATGATCAATAAACAGGATTATAATGCAAAGCTCTCTGACTTTGGCCTAGCAAAAGATGGACCTGAGGGAGACAAATCTCACGTTTCCACTCGCATAATGGGAACATATGGCTATGCAGCACCTGAGTACATAATGACAGGTAAGTTCTTCCAAGTGAAACTCTCTTGAATTTCTCTGCTATGCACTGAACTGAAATAAGGGTTAGAATTTCATCCTATGCAGTACTTAGAAGACATGTTATACAAAGAAGGCGTAGAATCAAAATCACCAAGGCTAAAGAATAATTGATGTTACCCTTTTTCCTTTATCAAGTATTTTCATATTCACATGCAGTACCTGTGCTTTGTGCAGGCCATCTGACTCCTAGGAGCGATGTATACAGCTTTGGCGTTGTTCTTCTTGAACTTCTCACAGGAAGGAAATCACTGGACAAGTCACGACCAGCCCGTGAACAGAACCTCACAGACTGGGCTCTCCCCCTGCTTAAAGAGAAGAAGAAATTACTGAACATTATAGATCCAAGATTATCAGGAGATTACCCCATCAAAGGAGTTCACAAGGCTGCCATGCTAGCATATCATTGCTTGAACCGGAACCCCAAAGCAAGGCCTTTAATGCGGGACATAGTAGATTCCTTGGAGCCTCTCCAGGTCCCAGAAGACGATGTCTCAACTGGAAAAGTCATAACTGTGATAAGTGGGCTGCCAAAAGAAGAGTTAAAAAGAAAGGAGGATCCACACTGTAATTGAAACATGTCCTGTTTTACGTCTTCCAGTTTCTTTCTGGTCTCAAACAACAGTTTTTTGTTACATAGCCTTTCATGAAATACATAGTATGTGCAAAAACGAAAGATATCTTTGTTCTATGATTTTGTTCTCTTTTTTGTGCTGTTCCTCAAACATGGTCATGGTATATTGTTACACTCAAAAAGGAAAATATATATCATTTTGAACCCATTATTCCTGCTTTCTTTGCTGAGATGACTATCTACTTGCAAGTTTCCGAACCAAACATCTAGAGTTTGAGCTTCACAAGTTAAACAAGTTACAGCCAAGCTTGATTATACAATTTTATCCTTTTTTCCCTCGGATGACAATAAAAACAGAGACAAACCATATGGGTGTGGTTATGGCCACTGGCCATAACGTTAATAGGGCATACACTTCTGTGTAATTTGAATATTAAAAATAATTAATAATTAATAATTAATTAAAAAAACATATATTTATTATTAAGTAAAGATCTTCTTCTATTCATTTTTACACTTTTAATGGTTAAAATTTATACATATTTATTAAAGATAATTATTTTTTTATCTAAAAAATTGTGATAAATTTAAACTATTTAAAATGAAAAAATGAATGATTAAAGTTTTGTGTAAGTATGATAAGTAAGATAAGTTGATCCTTCCTCTTTATTATTTAACATATTGAAATTAGTTTATAAATTGATATTTTTAGATATTGTAACTAATTATTTAAAAAAAACTACAAATTAATAGAATATTGATCAAACTAAATAATATATATGTGATCTTAACTATACCCAATTTCTACTTTAAGGATTGTGTAAACGACAAAATAAATGTTTTTTTATTATCATAAATTTATTTTAGAAAAATAAAATTGATTTATAATTTATCAATCATTTAATTAAAATTATTTACATAGTATTGGTATTAAAATTAATGTCAATTTATAATAAATTTATAAAAAAAAATTGCATTTATTGGATTCTTAAATGGCATACGTTAATTTTTTTTTTTTTAACATGAGCTTGGGCCTAAGAATGGGACAGCAAACATTGGAAGAAGACCCACCCATGAAGTCCATCAAAAGCAAAAATAATAAAAAGCCGACCCATTTAGGGTCCAACAGAGAAGAAGCCTCCCTAAATCATTCACACGTGCGGGATGCGGCCGCTGAAAGAAAATGTTCTGGAGTATTCTAAACCAGGACAAGCTTTGAGATCCAACGGCCAGGATTGAATGGAAGCTTCCAGTCCCAACACTTCCCTCTTCAAATCAAAACCTAACCTAACCCCCACACACTCTCTAGAAGAAAGTGCAACACAGCACTCAGCACTCCTTCTCCAAACCCCCTCCTAAACCCTAATCCGATTTCCTCAGGTATGTGACCTTTTGATTTCTCTTTATTTTGATACCAACTGGGTTTCGAATTGCCAATGTAATGGTCTCTAGCTGCTATGTTTCGAGACTGGGATTAGAGCGTTTGGCTGGAAATGATGATTTCCATATTAAGAAATGATTGAGAATTGCCTTTTTTATTTTCTCTTCCAAGTTCAAATCATGCTATGAATTTCTTTTACGTTGATTTAAGAAGGGTGTGCTTTATGGATTATTTATTGGGTATAAAGAGTTGTGTGCATTATTTTCGTTTAGTGTTATAATGTTTATTGGGTTTTTTTATACACTCGAAATTTTTTAAGGATATGATGTTGTTGAATATTGGCAGCCTTGATAGAAGGATAAATGGCGTCAACTTTCACTGCCATGTCTTCGGTTGGCTATTTGGGTGTTCCAGACGTGTTGAATAAGAAACTTGCATCTTCATATAAGTTGTCATCGCTTCCTTCAATTTCTACTACCCCTTTTGGTAGGAGACAAAATGTAGTTCTAAGGAAGTCACGGGTGCCGAAGGTTTATGCTGCTAAGGAGTTGCATTTCAACAAGGATGGCTCAGCAATCAGGAAATTGCAAGTAAGTCTTTGGTTCCAGTTGTTGAGGAGTGTCTGTTTTGCCCTCGTCTGGATAAGAACTTTTATTTGTTCCTATATGGTTACCGTTTTTCTTTTGCTTGTTGTAGACTGGTGTAAACAAGCTTGCAGATTTAGTTGGGGTTACGCTTGGACCAAAGGGCAGAAATGTTGTTCTAGAAAGCAAGTATGGCTCTCCAAAGATTGTTAATGATGGTGTCACGGTTGCCAAGGAGGTATACCTTTGCTTTACCTTTTTATTGTGCTTAGCTATTGATCTTGAAACAGGAAATCTAGAACTAGAAAGCTAGGCAGGGCTTTCCAAAAATTGTTAATTCAGCAATCAGTACCCTCTTTTCTTTTTTTTTTCTTTTTTTTTGTTTTGTTAATTTTATCTTTCTTTAAACTACATTAGGCTTTTGAATCTTTGACGGAAAATGCTCTCTAGCATGCTTCCAGGTTGAGTTGGAGGATCCGGTTGAGAATATTGGGGCTAAGCTGGTCAGACAGGCAGCTGCAAAAACAAATGACTTGGCTGGTGATGGAACAACTACTTCTGTTGTTCTTGCGCAAGGGCTTATTGCTGAAGGTGTTAAGGTTTGTATTGGCATTCATGTAATTGCTGTGTTGGGAAATGTATATTTTATATTGATTTCTGAGTTAAATTATTCAGGTGGTGGCAGCTGGTGCTAACCCAGTTCTAATAACAAGAGGCATTGAGAAGACCGCAAAGGCTCTAGTGTCCGAGCTTAAATCGATGTCAAAAGATGTAATGTCTGACACTTTTTCTTTTGCGGATAGATGCTTTTGACATCTATATAGCATCATAACCTCTTCATCTGGAAGGAATTCACTGACAGTTCTGTTGGATTGCAGGTTGAAGACAGTGAACTTGCAGATGTTGCTGCTGTAAGTGCTGGTAACAACTATGAAGTAGGTAATATGATTGCTGAAGCAATGAGTAAAGTGGGTAGGAAGGGTGTGGTAACCCTTGAGGAGGGAAAAAGTGCTGAGAACAGCCTCTATGTTGTCGAAGGAATGCAATTCGATCGCGGTTACATCTCTCCTTACTTTGTAACTGATGGTGAGAAAATGGCAGTGGAATATGAGAATTGCAAGGTATGGATGTGTACTCTTAACATGTAGAAGAGTGATCAATAGTTATATTTCTTAATTCTGAAATTTATCATGTATTTGGTTGCAGTTGCTACTTGTTGATAAGAAAATAACAAATGCAAGGGATCTTATCAACATCCTGGAAGATGCTATTAGAGGTGGATACCCAATTCTGATTATTGCTGAAGACATTGAGCAGGAAGCTTTGGCAACTCTTGTTGTGAACAAACTTAGAGGAGCTCTGAAGATTGCCGCTCTTAAAGCTCCTGGATTTGGAGAGCGTAAGAGCCAGTACCTTGATGACATTGCTATTCTGACAGGAGGTAAGGTTGTAAGGTTTATTTTGTATTTGCTACTCTTTCTTTGTGTGTCTGTGTGTTATTGTTGTTGTTGGGTTTTTTTTTTTTTTTTTTTTTCAGACCTTTCCATTTTAAAAAATGTTCTCCCTTTCACCGTGAGAAGTTCTATGACTCAATCACATAATCTCCTCTTGGTTTTATCTTAGCACATTTTGTTGAAATCTTTTGCTGTTTGTCTTTAGGTACGGTAATCAGAGATGAGGTTGGGCTTTCCCTGGACAAAGCTGGCAAAGAGGTCCTTGGTCATGCTTCTAAGGTGGTTCTTACCAAAGACACTACCACCATTGTGGGTGATGGAAGCACCCAGGAAGCAGTAAACAAGAGAGTTTCACAGATTAGAAATCTTATTGAAGTATATCTCTTAAGTCTCTTTTTGCACTAAACATATTGGCATGCAGTTCAAATAAATATTTATCAATGTCTAAGATTTGTCGTGTTCCTGTAGGCTGCAGAACAAGATTACGAGAAAGAGAAATTAAATGAAAGGATTGCTAAACTGTCTGGTGGAGTTGCAGTAATCCAGGTGAACTTCGAATTTCTAATTACATATCTATGACAGGACTCTTATTTACTTGAAAAAATATGTTGTGTGATCCATTTAAAAGACAGAGCAGTAAGATTTTTTTAGTTTTTTAACTTTTTAATGTTCTCTTGAAATCTTACAGGTTGGAGCACAGACAGAAACAGAGCTTAAAGAAAAGAAACTGAGAGTTGAAGATGCACTTAATGCAACTAAGGTAATGCATTTCATGGCATGCTCCAAAAGAACTCCAGTATTAGTCCTCATACCTTGAAAACCATGTAATGTGATAATGACTTACTTGATTTCAGGCAGCTGTTGAGGAGGGTATTGTTGTTGGTGGTGGATGTACCTTGCTGAGACTTGCATCAAAGGTAGACGCCATTAAGGATACCCTTAAAAATGATGAAGAAAAGGTATGCATTGTAGTGATGTGGATTGCAAGTTTGTCAGTCATATTAAGCTTAAGAAGGTGTTCCAGTTTATAAATTTCAGACAATACCCCACTTATTCAGAGAGGTTATATATACATGTTGTCTTACTCGAATTTGTTCAACTTCTTTCAGGTTGGGGCAGATATTGTTAGAAGAGCCTTGAGCTACCCTCTGAAGTTGATTGCTAAGAATGCTGGTGTTAATGGGAGTGTTGTCAGTGAGAAGGTATCTGGACTAACTCATGTCAGACAATGCAACTCCACTACTTCCTGATGAACTTATTTCTGACAAATAGGGCTGCTTTTGGTAATAGGTGCTATCCAGTGATGACCCTAGATTTGGATACAATGCTGCAACTGGGAAATATGAAGATCTCATGGCTGCAGGGATTATTGACCCAACCAAGGTTAGCCACTGAGCCTTGTTACATGATTATTTTGTAAACATGTTTGACTCATAATGGTTGCATATCAATTACATTTTATCATTGTCTGTTTTTGGTTCAACTTAATCATTCATTATGTTGCCGGGTAAATTGTCCAAACTAAGGAAATAAAAAATGATTGTTAATTCAGGTGGTCAGATGCTGTCTGGAACATGCTTCCTCGGTAGCAAAAACATTCTTGATGTCTGACTGTGTGGTGGTGGAGATCAAGGAACCTGAACCAGTCCCTGCTGGCAACCCCATGGACAATTCAGGATACGGCTACTGAGCTTAATACTTTTGCCGGGGAAGGAAATAAGACTATCCAGTGTTTTTCTTTATAAAATGAGTGTTCAGACTTTTTGACCCAATTAATTTCACAGGAATATGTCAAAGAATATTTGGTGCTTAATTGTAGTAGAGATGAAAATGAGCTTCCTTGTAAATTATTTATCATCTTTCTGGATGAATAAGCTTATTTGACAAGGGTATCTGTAATTCAATGTAAAATTGCAGCAGTTTTGAACTATTTTTTTTTTTTTTTTATTTGGATCACTTGATATTTGAAAGTTTAATTCAGGTTTAAGTCGGGAGACTCAACGGCTGACAAAGCTCTCTCTTAAAAGTTTAAATCGAACTGTATTTTCAAACTTGAAATTAAGATATCTGGTTAAACTGGAAGAGTCTTTTATCAACTTATTTATTGGATTTTGGGTAGTTTTGATCTCTTTCTAATGAAGGAAAATTAGCACTTAAACTCTCTGAGATTTGTGAAGTGCTAGTCCGGGCAAATCAGTTATCATCAGGCTATCTGGTTTTATTAAAAAGATGTAGTAGTTGCTGTCTGTTGTTGTTGGGTTGTTTTCCTTCTTCTTCTTTTTCTCTTTTTTGTTTTTTTAAATGCTTCCTTCTTTAATGATATTAATAAACATTTTACCTTTTTTAAATATTATATTAAACTATGTAATATTATATAATTTCTAATGAAAGGTGGATTTTTTAATACCATGGATTCTCTTTGACTAATTGATTTTGTTATTTAATTTGAGATTTAAAATATTAAAAATATTGAAGAGGAAGTATTGTACAATGTACTTTTTAGCTTTTGATATTTGCAACTTGGTCAACAATTCAAATGCTTTAAGAATTTTCAACTTGCCAAGTGTTATTATATCAACAAATTGGATTATTAAATTTTGTAAAAGTGGAGCAAAATTCTCTAGTACGTCTACTATTATAAAAAAAAAAAAGAAAAAAAAGAAAAAAACAAATGAATAAAATAATAATGACGGAAAAGGCGAATTAATTTCCGTTACAACAGTTTTAATTATGATCCTATTTTGGCGCCACCCTACCGTTCTGACTTCTAACTCTCTTTAATTATTATTGATTCGGGCACTCCCCACCTTCACCCAATATTCCATTCCCTTAAACAAATTTTTTTGAAAAATAATTTAAGAATATTTTTTTGTATTATTTTTCTAATATAACTTTATATAACATTTAAATAAGAGTAGTAATATAAAGATAATTTTTTATATTATTTTTTATATAATTTTCACAATCATTAAATAAATACATATATTCAATATTATAAATTTCAAATGAATGAAAAAAATTAATTATTTAAATTACACGTAAGGTTATATAAAAACGTAATATAAAAAGGTAATCATTAAATAATTTTTTTTAAATAATTGATTTTTTATTTATTTAAAA